GCTGGCTTTGAAGATGGAAGGGGGCCACAAGCCAAGGAATGACAGAAACGTCTAGAAACCGGAAAAGGCAGGGAAATGGATTTCCCCCCATACCCTCCAGAAGAAATGGAAGCCTGCTGACACTTTGATTTTAGCCCAGCGAGACCCACTTTTGACGGCCAGACTGTAAGATAAGAAATGTGTGTTGTCTTACGCTGCTAAATGCTGTGGTAATTTGTTTCAGCAGCAACAGGAAACTAGTCAAGAGCCCTGTCTTTGGAGTCAAACAGCTCTGCAGTTTCCCTGCTGTGTGACCCCAGGCAAGATGCTGGCGCCCTCTGAGTCTCGTTGCCTTGCCTACAAAATAGGGTTGAGGTGGGGGTTAAAACAGGAAGCATTTGGAAGGCGCTCAGCACGTGCTCCCAAAATGGCAATGACTTTGCTCCCTGATCCCAAGTTGCTCCCACCTCTTCTCTGACGCCACTTGGGAGGGCAGCAGTGCCAGGTACTTTGGGAGGTTCTCTGCTGGTCCTCCTCTGGGTTTTTAAAGCCATCCTAATTCACACCTGGCCACTTTGGAACTTGCAACAATGCGCGCCTCGCATCGGCTCCTCTGACGGAGGTGTGTGCTGATGTGTAAGGCCTGGGAAGGCCAAGGCCCGCGTTCAATGCGCAAGTCAGTGAAGGTCCCTGCAGTCAAACAGCAGACGGCTCGTGATGGGCATTTCTTGTATTTGTCAGAGCCCTTTGGGAGCCCCCAAGGCCTTTACCCCAACTAGCCCCAAATCAGTAGAGTACCCATGGGGAATACAGTAGGACACCATAACAAACGTCCTACCAAGTTGGCCTGCCCATCCTTCACCCTGTCTAGGGAGACTCGGATGGTGGGGCAGGACCGTCTGGCCCGAGGGACTGGTATCATCACCAGCACCGCCGCCACCATCCCAGTTCATCCGAGTTTCTAGTCCTTCCTTCCTGTTTTAGATTAAAGAAAAAAACCTTAGCACCGAAGTAGAACACAGTAAGGGTGTTCTTTTCTCTTCCTGAGTGGGCATTTCACAGAGGGCCTGGGCTAGCCGATTCAATGTCAGCTTCATCTCTCCGTCAGCAGTTCCAAAGGCCAAATAGGAAGGGAGGTGGAGGGGGTCCCTGGGCCTGGGGAAAGGGGGGGACACAGTGCCATCAGAGGTTCCCACAGGTACAGATGCTGATGGTGTAGACAGCCTGTGTGTGCGAGTCCTGTTAGGCTGGGCCGCCCTGTACAGAGAACCAGGGGTGTGCTCTTTGGTCGGTGTGTCCTGGGGGTAGCCAGGCATTCACCACTGAACCCATCCTGCACTCCTCCCCGCACAGCTCCTGTCCTTTCATATGGCATCAGGGAGAGCCCACAGACTTCTACACTCGGAAACAGCTTCTGGGGCTTCCCTGGCGGTTCAGTGGTTAAGACTCCGCTCTTCCGCTGCAGGGGGCACGGGTTCGATCCCTGGTTGGGGAACTAAGTTCCCGCATGCCGCGCTGCACAGCCAAAAAAAAGAAAAAAGAGAAAATAGCCTCTATGTCTACAGGCACCACTGCATTGTAACAAGGCAGAGGCTTCTGGTGCAGCTGACAGAGGAGCATTTGCTTGAAGGCCCAGGCCCTGCAGAGGGGGATTTTTCCTGGGCCCCCTACCAAAACAGCCCCCCATCAGGACTGTAGTGATTCAGTCTCTGGAGGAGATGAAACCACAGATCACCCAACAAAATAGGGGCAATGCACATCCTCAGTGACCCCCACTCATGGTGGACGTTGGCTTCCTGGCTCTAGCAACGTTCCTACAGTCAGCTTCCAAGGGGACGCCTTGGAGGGAGGAGGTTAAGCCGAAATAGCGCCGCAGCCGATTTGGAGAATCACAGCTCTATCATTTAGCTGTAAGACCCTATCTAGAGCCTTTGCCCCTTTGGGCCTGAGTTTCCCCATCTGTAAAATGAGGCTGAGCCAGGTAACCTCCGGGGGTCCCGTCGGCCCTGCCGTGCTGAGGGAGTTTAGGAAAGAGTCCTGAGAGCCAGAAGACCCCATGAGGCCAGAGCCCCGTGCTGGCTCCCCGCTCTGGGCCACGCTGTTTAAAGACGCTGACGCTCGCCTTACTCACGACCCAGAGAATTCCTCTGATGCCGTAGCTCTGTTGGTCTGCAGAGCAGGATCCACCCGCCTCCACATCAGTGCTTCTCCTCCTGGCCGCCCTCTGGAATCGCCCAGAGAGCTTTTAAAAACACTGGCGCTGGCACCTTGTCTCCAGAGAGTGTGATTTAATTCATCTGGGGTGGGGCCTGGGCAATGGTGTTATTTTTTATAAGCTCCCCGGGTATTTGCTAATGTAGTTGTGACCCACTGACCCAGATGTTGGCTGCTAGCGGCTGAAGGGTGACTGCCCGGGGGTGGGAGTGGAAACAGCTTCCCCTGCCCCTGCTGATGTGCCATTGCTCTTGTGTCCATGGTACTTTCTAGTTATCTGAGTGTCAGCCTGTCTGGCTCAAGTCAGGATCCCTGGCTCAGGGGGTTCAACATCCTGTATCTCCTGGTGTCTTGTAGGTGCTCACGGGTGGTTGGATAGGAAGAATCAGGGTACCCTGCTCCTCCTGCATCCCCCAAGTCCCTGGGGTCCCTGCCCCTAGTTCAGGCTTTAGCATTTTCCGCAAGGTCTGGGGTGCGCGGGAAGGCAGGCCCGGGGTGCCTGGAGGGAGCTGTCCTGCCGCCCTCATCCTCTGGCTGGCAAGTGTTCCTCACAGCCACCCAGCCTGACACCAGATCTGAGTTCACATGATTCTGCCTCAGCTCAGGAATGGGCAGCCTCCAGCTGGGATTTTCTAGTCTGAGCTGGGAGGAGTGGCCGGCGGGAGATCGCAGGAGGGGGAGCTTGGGTCCTGGCTGCAGGGTCACCCGGCGGGGGGTCCGCCAGGGCTTGGCCAGGGGCGTTCAGTCTCCTCCCCGGGCCTCTGCGAGCCAGCGAGCACTGGGACGAAGCCGGCTCTTTGAGGTTTGAGGGCAGAGCTTTGCCGGGCGGGCAGAGAGGACCCAGATCCCCTGAGGCTGCTGCTCCCTCACCTGGCGGCAACCACAGTCCCCTTCCTGGGGTCCGGACCCTGAGCAGGCGGGGGTCAGTCCAGCTGTTTCTAAACAGGATCATGACCCATGAGCGGCTCCGGAAATCAATTTAGCAGCTCACGCCCTTAAGAAAAACAAAATAGAGTGGAATGATCAGAGTGCATGACAAGTGGTAGGGTAAGTACTGCTCTGGGTCTATGTGTGTCTGTGTGTGTGATGTCTCTTTGTGCTGGTTACAATGACAAGTGCATTCCTCACTGTGGTCTGTGGTCAAAAGAGCTCAAAGGCAGCGAGTTGGTGCCTAGAAGCCTGGGTTCTGGATTCAGATTCACCCCCACTTACTGTATGAACTTGAGCAACTAGGTTAGCCTCTCTGGGCTTCAGATTCTATGAAATGGGTTCACAGCGTCAGCCCCATCGACTCACAGCAACTTAGTGAGCCCAGATGGGCTTGAACTCTGAGACCGTTATGAGGGCTTTAGAAATGAGGTTGTGTCCTTGCTGTTGCTGGATTGAGGCTATTTAGGGGAAAGCTGGGGACTAAGGGGAACATGCAGCCTGATTCTACTCCCACCCCAGATGGAAACATCAACAGCCTCTGAAAAGGGTACTTTTAGGAAATGAAACAGCCCTGTTTAAAGCGTGTTTAAACACGCTGAGGAAACTCCCCAGCTCGGCGTGCTGGGGGTTCCCCTGAGCAGGGCCGCCCGGCCAGGGACTAACTGTGTGCGTGCCAGTGTGCCACGACCGGGAAGAGACGGGCGATAGATTAAACCACTGTTCATGTGGCAGCTGAACGGCACTGGCCACCTCTGCCTTCTGGTTTGGAATGTGCAGGCGGCTCCCAGCTTGAGTCAGAGGCCCTTCATGCCTTTGGGGAGCTTAACCGCTCTTGGACGTTCCAGTCCTCGGAGGCCTCTGTGCTGACGGGCGTTTGTCTAACAGTCTTGCTCTTAGTGCTGTGCTGCTTCCTGTGTAGTCTCCCGGTTTCTTAGCTGGATGATAAAATGAGGTAGATGCAGCAGCTCTGTGTTTTGATTCTTTGCCCCGATCCCCTCCACCTTGGGGATCCCAGCCCCAGGCACACAGTAGGTTTTCCTCCATGGGTGGTGAGGAAATGGTTGACCTGCCAGGTGCAGGGGGCTGGCCCAGGCCCAAGCCTGGTGGCCTCGTGGTGGCATATGTATGGACTGGAGCCTGGCAAAGCCTGGAGGTGAGGGTGGTCACTCTGTAACAACTGTGATGAACAGAAAGATAGCGCGGTGTGAAGGAAAGCGTGGACCAGTCTGAGTTCAAAACCTGGCCTACGTCGTAGCTGTGGAATTGTTGCCGAAAGCTCAGCTTCTCCGCACACCAGAGCCGAATCGCATCTTGGAGACAGAGTTTCGGGTGAAGTAGAAAAGGATAGCTTTATTGCTTTGCCAGGCAAAGGGGGACCCTGGGCAGGGGGGAGGGTCCCACCTCGAAAAACTATGTGTTCCAATCCCAGAGGATCTGATGAAGGGTTTTATAACAATGGTTCAAGGGTGGGATCTCCGACAAGATTAGGGTGTGCTTAGGGCCTGCACTCCTTTAATCTTGTCTCAGGTGATTGGTCTCCTAATCTTGAGGAGCTTCTCTGGTCCCTTTTTTTTTTTTTTTTTTGCGGTACGCGGGCCTCTCACTGTTGTGGCCTCTCCCGTTGCGAAGCACAGGCTCCGGAAGCGCAGGCTCAGCGGCCATGGCTCACGGGCCCAGCCGCTCCACGGCATGTGGGATCTTCCCGGGCTGGGGCACGAACCCGTGTCCCCTGCATCGGCAGGCGGACTCTCAACCACTGCGCCACCAGGGAAGCCCCTCTGGTCCCTTTAATTTTGTCTCAGGTGATTTCTTGGCTGCTTCTTCCTTGATTAGCAACTGTTCCAATCTGCCCTTTGGAACTCAGGGAAGGTCATGGAGGCTGGAGTCTTGCCTACAAGAAGCAGGGGACAAAAAAAAGGCCTCCATGCCTGGGAACCCTGCAGGGCCTCACTTGGTTTCAGAATCTTGAGCGGCCTCAGTTTCTTCATCTGTAAAATGGGTGCTGGTGAGACTAGTGTTGAGAGAGAGAATGAATGTGCAAAAACGTTCCTGGCATGTGGAGGCCTCTCACTCGGTATGGCTTGGCCCTTCCATCCCATCTACGTTTTTCCATTTATAGAACACTTTGCACCCACTGTGCCTTTGATTTGGGGGAGCAAGCTTTCTGTGGACAGCAGGTAGAGAAGGGACATTCCTGGCAAGATGTAGTTTCCATGGAGGGGTGCCTGTCCTCAGGGAGTGGATGAAGGGAGAGCTGGTTGTGATGAGGCCCGAGTGAAAAAGCAGGGCCCTCTGTGACCAGCTCAGGCAGCTTAAACAGATGCCAGGTGGCTGGAGAGGAGGTCACAGTGATTCCTCCCTCTCACTTTTCTGTTTCTATTAATAATATTTCCATTGTCCCAGCACCCAACCTCAAAACCCCCCACCCATCCATCCATCTTTTCATCCATCTATCTACCCATTGACCCATCCACCCACCCATTCGTCCATCTATCTACCTGTTCACTCATCCATCTATCCACCTACCCCCTCTTCCTTCCACTTATTCATCTTATTCATCCACCTACCCATCCATCCATCCACTCATCCACCCACCTACCTCTTCACACATCCATCCATCTAACAGATAATTTGAGGGAGATTATGAGGACCAAGCACTGAAGAACATCTCAGATTTGTCCCTGATTGTCCCCAGCTCCTTCTAATTAGTTGGCAGTTTCTACAGCTGTGTGTTGTTCCCTCTCTGGCCACACCCTCCTCACACCTAGTTGTTTGTGCCAAGCTACTTTCAGTTCCACACAGGTGCCTGTTCTCTCTCTCTCTGGCATTTGGCCTGTTGCATGCTCTATTTCCACAGGCAGAAACTTCCCTCTTCCCTGGCTGCCCTTCCCGCTTCTTCTGGTCTTCGAGCAAAGTGCCGCTCAGGAAGGCTTTTCCAGCTGGGTTAGTTCACCTCCTATGAACTCCCTTAATGTCCTGTACTCTCCCTGGGAGCTAACCCTCTCTTTTCTTCTCCTGTCTCCCATGAGACTAAAAGCAACTTGAATTACGCCAGGGGCCAGTGTCTAGTACAGTGCCTTCCATATAATAATAGACACACTCAATAAGTATTTGCTGTAACAACGAATAAGTCAATGAGTGGATGGATGGATGGACAGATGGATGGATGATCGGAGAGCCATTGAAGGGTTTGAAGCAGAAGTGATTAGGTTAGGTTTTTGTTTTAGAGGATGGCTTTGAGGGTGGTGAGGCAGAGACAGGGAATCCCATAGGAGGCCGTGCGCTGATTCTGGGGAGGAAGTCTTGACCAAGCCAATCTGGGGCACTGGGGAGGGAGCTAAAGAGGAGGAGACGGATGTGGGAAGTATTTAGGAGTTGAAAATGGTATAACTGAGTAATCAAGTGGGTGCTGTGGACAAAGATGAGGGAGAAAGCTGAAGGCCAGCCATCCAATGTGAGTGACTGGGCAGGAGGAGATGCCACCTCCAAGAACAGACTAGTGGAGAAGATGAAAGCAGGGTGGGCCTCACAGAGCATGCCCTGTGCCGCGGAAGGAAGCTGGTTCTGTCAGCCTTCCACCTGGGGGTGGGGAGGACGTCTGGGAGGCATCAGAGTGTTGACGGCATTGAAATCACAGAGGCGATGCCGTGTGTGTGGAGGAGGTGTTTTCATCTAAACGTCGTATGTGTTTCTTCTTTGCCCTGCAGACTTGAGTATTTCCGACTTTGCTTGCAGGAATTCGCGTATCATCGGCCTGGGAAAGAGGAACCCGCAAACAGTCACACCAGCCCGCCTCACACATGCGTACACTCAGCCCTAGCCAACGATAGGCTTCGGCCAGGTGACTCTCAACAAATTCCTAAGACCTGACAGGACGTGTTTTCACTTTGGTTTCCTTTGCCAGATTTTGTTGGTGCCTGGGAGCCTGTGCTGATGAAGGAATTTTTATCTTCCTGTGGGTAGATTTTATGTGGACTGTGGAGAACCCGAGGTAAATTCAGAGACACGGACGTCCTGGGTGGGTGTCCCTGGGGGACCGCTCAAGTGTGGGCCTGGGATCCAGAGACAGGAGGGCTGGCAAGAGGAGGACGAACGGGGCCAAATTTTGACTCGCGGGGCTGTGCAAGAGTTTAGGGGTCACAGGCCTCAGCTGCCCCTTCGCCCCTTCCTCTCACCATCAAAACATATAAACAAAAACACAAAAAGCAAAAAACAAGAAAACACCCTTGTGCACTGTTGGTGGGAATGTAAAATGGTGCAGCCCGCTGTGGAAAACAGAATGCAGTTCCTCAAAAAAGTAAAAATAGAGCTGCCATATGATCCAGCAGTTCTACTTCTGGGTATATACCCAAAAGAACTGAAAGCAGGGACTCAAGTAGTATACCCATGTTCACAGCAGCATTATTCACGATAGCCAGAAGGTAGAAACAACCCAAATGTCCAATGGAAAAACAAAACTGCGGTCTATACATATAATGGAATATTATTGGGCCTTAAAAAGGAAGGAATTCTGATATATGCTACTACATGGATGAACCTTGAGGACGTTATGCTAAGTGAAATAAGCCAGCCACAAAAAGATAAATTCCGTGCGACTCCACTTATACGAGGTGCCTAGAGCAGTCAAATTCATAGAGACACAAAGTAGACTGGTGGCTGCCAAGGGCTCGGGGGAGGAGGGATGGGGAGTTAGTGTTTAATGAGTACAGATTTTCAGCTGGGGAAGCTGAAAAAGGTCTGGAGGTGGATGGTGGTGATGGCAGTACAGCAGTGTGAATGTGCTTAATGCCACTGAGCTGCGCGCTTAAACATGGTTAACATGGTAAATGTTAGGTTATGTGTATCAAACCACAATTGAAAACAGCAACAAGAAGCACCTCCCTCCACCACCAACACTGACATCCGGGCCTGTAGGACTTCCCTGGTGGCGCAGTGGTTGAGAGTCCGCCTGCCGATGCAGGGAACACGGGTTCGTGCCCCCATCCGGGAAGATCCCACATGCCGCGGAGCGGCTGGGCCCGTGAGCCATGGCCTCTGAGCCTGCGTGTCCGGAGCCTGTGCCCTGCAACGGGAGAGGCCGCAGCGGTGAGAGGCCCGCATACCCCCACCCCCCAAAAAAAAAAATCCGGGCCTGTATCCTGGAGAGGATGGGGAGGTGAGCCCTCCTAGGAGTCCTCGTCTTCCAGGGACTGAGAGGGTTCAGGGAGGCTCAGGTGGGGACTAGACGTGGCAGGGAGGTGGGACTTGGAGAAAGGAGACCTGGATTCTAATGCCCATGCTTCCTTCCTTAGACTGGCTTTGGGCACGTCACTTCCCCTTTCAAACGTCAGTTTCCTCATCTGTAAAATGGGGAAGTGGCATTCACTTATTCATTCTAGAAGTACTCAGGAGTGCCTGTGGTGTGCCAGGCACTGTTCAAGGTGCACAAGGCCCTCTTGGAATTTACATCCTCGTGGAGGAGACAGATCATCAGCAAGCAGACAAGTAAATAACCAAGAAAAATCTCAGACCCGATGGGAGCTCTGCGGAGCCATGAAACAGGAAGGTGTGATGGTGATGGTGATGGGGGAGGGGCTGCTTTAGTGGGGTGGTCAGGGCGAGCCTCGCAAGGGGGTGTGTTTAAGCTGAGACCTGGTGGCAAAGGAACAGCCTTGAGGTGGAGGTGGAGGTGGGGAGAGGGCAGGGGGCAGCACTCCAGGAGAGACTGGAGCGAGGCCAGGCGACGAGGCCCAGAAAGCTGGCCAGTGAGGCTGGAGTGTGGTGGCAGCAGACAAGGTAGGGGGAGCTGGGGCCGGATCATGCTGGGTCTTGTAAGAGTCTGGGAGTTTTACCGTGGGTGTGATAACTCACTGTGAAACCGTCTCAGTGGGTTTTAAATGAGGAGGAGGAGGATCCAGTTTGTATTTTGGAAAGATTGCTGTGGCTGCCCGGGGGATAATGGTCAGAGGTGTGACTGGGAGCACTGGGGTGGGGGGAGGCTTGGCCACGGAGAGAGCCACAGGGAGTCCAGGTGAGAGGGGGCAGCTTTGGGCCAGACCCATCTCTCACCCATTTCAGAGACTCTTATGAAAGCCACAGGACCCTTTTCCAGGAAAAATGCACATACTTACATATTTACAAGTTTGAGCCTGTGATTTCGAGGGAGGTCCTCAAGTTTATCCTCCATGAACCCCAGGACTGGAACTGCTGGGCTGGAATATCTCTGGGCCCCTTCCCAGAAGGCTCTGCCACTTCCAGGCTGAGCCCGGGCTCTGGTGCCTACAGGGCCAGTCAGGAGCCAGCAGGAGGGAGGCTGCAGAGGGAGGGACCCTGGACAGCAGGTGATGAGACGTTGTTGGTTGTGGAAGGGGTTTCCCGTCTGGTCTGTGAGTCCCAGCTTGACTATGGTGAAGAGACAGCAAAGGGCAAGATTGATCTGCTAATACCACAAAACAACTTAATGCAGACCCCGTTCATTTGGAATTTGCAGCCAGATAGACGATGCATTCTCAAGGAGGGGTGAAAATTGGTTCTTAGGTGGGGTGAAAAAAATCTTAGATATTATAGTGGTTTGTCATCCTCAAAAGCCCATGATACATAAGCAGATATGAAATACATCTGGGTTATTCAGATTTCATGGGGGCAGGTGGTTAGGAAAAAAAATGTCAAAAAAGTCTCCTTGGAAGGATGATTACAAACAACAACAACAAAAAAGTTAATTTAGACACAGTGAGATTTTTCATCGGAGCCAGAAGTGTTAAATCAATAGAGCAGCTCAGTCCTTTCATTCTGATATATTAATTTATAAAGTAGGCCTACAACAAAAAATTTTTATTCTGTCTTGTTCAAATGTATTTGTATATATAACAATAGCATTTTCTTTGTTAAATTCTCAACAATGTGAACTTTTCACTAATGCGAGTAAGACTACCATCTTTGGGCTTCCCTGGTGACGCAGTGGTTGAGAGTCTGCCTGCCGATGCAGGGGACACGGGTTCGTGCCCTGGTCCGGGAAGATCCCACATGCCGCGGAGCGGCTGGGCCCGTGAGCCATGCCCACTGAGCCTGCGCATCCGGAGCCTGTGCTCCGCAACGGAAGAGGCCACGACAGTGAGGGGTCCACGTACCCCCCCCCAAAAAAAAACAAAAAAAAACCTACCATCTTTTATTCTGCCTCATTGCCTTTGGAAAAACAATGACATGCATTTTGACATATTCTATGTGGCCCTGATACTGACCCTGAGGGCAGGTGTCTTCACCCTCATTTTATTTATTTATTTACTTACTTATCGCCCTCGTGGCACGGCTTGCAGGATCTTCGTTCCCCAACCAGCTATTGAACCCAGGCTCCAGCAGTGAAAGAGACGAGTCCTAACCACTGGACTGCCAGGGAATTCCCATATCCCTGTTTTATGGATGAGGAAACTGAGTCTAAGAGAGTGTAAACGACTTGCACAGCCTGTGAGCAGCTGACCCTAGCCTGGTGCTCATGTCTGTCGGTGCCTGGCGCCCTGTGCTAGGTTCCCAATTCCACGGAGGTGAGGTAGCAGTGCCCTGCGGGAAGCTTAGCCTTTTTTCTTGCCAGAGCACAGCAGGATGTGGACCAGGCTGGGCCTCTATTGTGCTGTATGGAGAGGCCCCGAGGAGGGGCTGTGGCCTTACTGACCTGGTGCATCCCTGTGAGCAAGTAGGAAAAATGCGAATGGTACTGAATAAGAGAGTGGCTAGGGCCCTCACTGTTATGTGGGCTGGAATTGTTCTTCACCTTGAGCTTCCCTTGGAGCTTCCCTGGAGCCAGCTCCAGGCCTTGCTTGCTGCACCGAGGGACCAGGAAAGTAAATAAGGGACAGGAAGCCGGGGAAGGGGGATGGGGAGACATAAGTCACATTTCAGTTGAGTTGGAGGTGGTTGGCTGGATCACCTTCTAAATTACGTGAGGCACTTAGAAGAGTGCCTGACGTACAGTAGGTGCTATATAAATGTTGGCTCCTCTTATCCTAAGCCTTTCCACCTTTGACTTTCAGGGCCTTACCCATCACCAGTGAGGCCCGGCCTTTGCTACAGCTTGAACCACATCCTAGAAACAAGGTGGCGCTAGAGAGACTGGTGCATTCCTGAGCCCATGAGGGTTGAGGCCCCTCCAGGCCCAAAGATGGGGAACATCACCGGAGACAACGGCTCGCTGAGCTGTGCCATCGACCACACCATCCACCAGACGCTGGCGCCGGTGGTCTATGTCACGGTGCTGGTGGTGGGCTTCCCAGCCAACTGCCTGTCCCTCTACTTCGGCTACCTGCAGATCAAGGCCCGGAACGAGCTGGGCGTGTACCTGTGCAACCTGACAGTGGCCGACCTCTTCTACATTTGCTCGCTCCCCTTCTGGCTGCAGTACGTGCTACAGCACGACAACTGGTCCCACGGCGACCTGTCCTGCCAGCTGTGCGGCATCCTCCTGTACGAGAACATCTACATCAGCGTGGGCTTCCTCTGCTGCATCTCCATCGACCGCTACCTGGCCGTGGCCCATCCCTTCCGCTTCCATCAGTTCCGCACCCTGAAGGCTGCCGTGGGAGTCAGCGTGCTCATCTGGGCCAAAGAGCTGCTGACCAGCATCTACTTTCTCATGCACGAAGAGGTGGTGGAGGACGGGGACCGGCACCGCGTCTGCTTCGAGCACTACCCGCTCGAGCCCCGGCAGTGCGGCATCAACTACTACCGCTTCCTGGTGGGCTTCCTCTTCCCCATCTGCCTGCTACTGGCCTCGTACCGGGGCATCCTGCGGGCCGTGCGCCGCAGCCATGGCACCCAGAAGAGCCGCAAGGACCAGATCCAGCGGCTGGTGCTCAGCACCGTGGTCATCTTCCTGGCCTGCTTCCTGCCCTACCATGCGCTGCTGCTCGTGCGCAGCCTCTGGGAGTCCAGCTGCCACTTCGCCAAGGGCATCTTCAACGCCTACCACTTCTCCCTGCTCCTCACCAGCTTCAACTGCGTGGCCGACCCCGTGCTCTACTGCTTCGTCAGCGAGACCACGCACAGGGACCTGGCCCGCCTCCGTGGGGCCTGCCTGGCCTTCCTCACCTGCGCCAGCACTGGCCGGGCCCGGGAGGCCTACCCATTGGGTACCCCCGAGGCCCCAGGGAAGAGCGAGGAGCCCAACGTGCTGACGAAGCTCCACCCGGCCTTACAGACCTCTCAGCCACCCGGAGCGGGAGGGTCCCCAGCGGGCGGACTGGCCTAGCTGTGTCGCCCCATCACCCACGTGTGGGGCGAAGCAAGGCCTGAGCTTGCTCGACAGCTGCTGCCCACTTGGCCAAGGCAGGTGTCTCTTGCTGCTGGAGGGGACGATGGACCTGGGCCACGGGGCCCTGGGTCTGGGCCTCAGCACAACCTCTCTGGGTCCAGGGAACCTGCTGTGGCTGCCGAGTCCGACGGGGCTGCTTGTTGAGTGTGGGGATAAGCTCCGACAGTGCATGGGGGTCGTCTGCTGCCAGCTGGGCGGCTGGCGGGAGGAAGACCTGCTCACGTCCAGGAGGTTTTCAAAGAGAAGCTCGGGTGGGGGACGCAGGGTGTGAGGACATGGAGAGAGGGGCCTGGGAGATGAGAGTGGGTACCTGGGGGCACACCTGCCAGGGCCTTCCAATGCCGTTGTCACAGATGACACCAGTCCAGATGCACTGGTGTAACCGGGGGAGGTGACACACGAAAGTGTGCTGTCATCATTCATACGTGAGCCTCACTCCACGAAGGGGTGGGAAGGAAGATGAGTGGGCCCGGAGGTTGGATGAGGAGAAGGAATGTAGGGAGGGGTTTGGGGCACTGGGAGTGTGTGTTTGTGGGGGACAGTGGGGGAGTAACAGGTGGAGGAGGGGCACCAGATACAGCCAAGTCACAGTTTCACAGGCGAGGAGGGTTGAGCAGATTCCCCAAGCCCCAGGGCTGATGGAAAACAAATCCTAGGGCTCCCTGGGGCTCCATAGGGCGATGTCTGTGGTCCTTTAAAGTCAGCATTGAAGTTCAAGGGCCAGGACAGAGGCCTAAAGCAGTACGTCCAGCTGAGTTCCCTACACAGATTCGCCTCAATTCATCTTCTGTTTCTATCTGCCTTGAAGCACCAGACCCGGAAGCCTGCGACTTTGTGTGTGTGTGTGTGTGTGTGTGTGTGTGTGTCCACGGTTAAAATGCCAGGGTCTCCATGACAGCTCTGCCCCAAGCCACTGAGGCTAGGGTCATGTGACTGCTGGCAGTGTCCCCTGCCACACAGACTGGAGTGCCCAGCAGTCTCAGAGAGGAGCATGACATTCTCCCCAAGTTCTTAGAACAAAACAAACAACACGGAGATGCATGCTCTGTTACCTCTCAGCCCAAAGCCCCGGGCTGAAGCTCCACTGCGGTTTAAGTAGCCCCTGTGACAAGAAGAGGAGGGACCTTGGGCTCGCCTTGCCTCCTTGGTCCTTCAGCACTGCTCCTCTGCCAGATGCCCCACCCCACCCACCTGGAGAGTGACAGTAGGCCCACGGGCCACATGCAGACGAGGGTACTGACCACCGTCTCTTGTTCTGTCCTGGAAGGCTGGTGACGGGGCTCCTGCAACTTCGTGCCTGAGCATATTAAGCCTCTGCCTGGGGGATGTACCAAGGACCAGAGGAGCTTCTTGCTCCTCCAGGGACCTGCCCACCTTCTTAGAAATGCTAGCCCTTCAGATCTCCTGGTCGGTGGGCTGGAGCCAGTTCTGACTTCCCCCAAAGACCTGGGATTTGAGCTCTCACAGCTAAGAGGCTAGGTGGGCTCAAGCCCGGGGAGGGACCAGGGATGGGAAGATAGAAGCTGGCATCAGTAGAAGATTTCTGGAATCTGTTAAAGGGCTGCCAGGGAGAATAGTTTTTTCAATCTCTCTTCATGTCTCCCCTCCCCTCTCCCAGAAGTAGATTCACCCTGAGTTTCTTAACCCTCCCATCAGAGGTGTCCAAAGACTGATAGCCCAGGGTGGGTGTGCCCTAAGGAAGTGGGGTTCCAGGGCTTGCTCTAGCTCCTTCTGGATGGCCTTCCATAACCTGGGGAGGTTCTCTTCCCCTTCACGGAGGAGGAACTGACCAGGTCTGCAGGTAGCAAAAAAAAGGCCACCCAGCCCCAGACCAGGATTACAAGGGCAATGACACTGGTTGAGACCTCCATGCTTCCTCACTCCAAACTTCCTCCTGTTTTGATCTTGAACATGGACATTCCCATTGGGATAAACTGGCATGAGCTGAGGGCAGTTCCATTTACTATCAAGAGTTGTATTTTTGTATTGTCCTCTCTTTTATGCCAAGTATACATGTGTTGGACCATGCAATGGATTTATGTAGCAAACTTGAGTCTGCAAATAAAGCAAAGTAACCAGCCACAGCTGGAGTGTGCTGCAGTTCTTATGGGGAGGGAGGGTCTTCTGACACCAGGGGGATCTAGAAGGCCCATGGAATACCCAACAGAGTCAGGAAAGTCCAGGGATTGACATTCTCAGAGAAAACTTGAACAGCAATTAGGGGATTGGTCCTTGATTATCCAGTAGTGGCCAAGAAGGATGAAGCCTTCAGATGAAGTAGGGCCTTCTTCCTCTTGAGATTCATGAAGTGTCTTGAGCTCTGCAGCATTGTTGCTAATCCACTCTGGGACTTAATTTGGCCACCTCCCCTCTGAAGACAGAACTCAGCCCTGCGGTTTGGAAAATATCATTCCCTGTCCTTGGACACAGGACCCCTTCTACCCCCTGAATAGCTGCTCCCCACAGTGAGGGAGGGCTTGATCAGTCCCCTCATCACTAGTGAAGATTGCCAAAGTGAAGGAAGGCCTGTTGTACCCACCCCTTGGGGGGCTCTTCTTACTGTTCGGGTTGTGTTTGGGGAGCCCCACATTTAGTGATCATCCTTCTTAAGCTGGAGCATCTTCTCAACAGTGGCACCTCCATGTTTATCATGAAAGATTAAATGCATTCTGTTAAAACGTAAATTTGGTTTTAGTCACTTAATCCTTCCCTGGAGTCAGATTCCTGGAGTCCTGGAGTGCTCTGGAAGAATCGATCCTTCTTCCAAACAGACTTATTGGGGATTAAGACTCCTTTCTTTCCTAAGATAAAAGGTGGAAGAAAAGGTCCATCTGGTTTGGACTGAAGGTGGCAAAAGCAATTAGATTCCTTTCTCATTCACCACTGTTGCTTAGTAAGATGAGGGCTCATCTTCCTGTTTATACACACTGGTCTGTGGTTTGGCCAGACAAGTGTGGGAGAAATTTTCAGCACAGAATACATCCCCATCTGCTGCTTTTCTCTGGCTGGTACAACCAAGAAAGAGCCAGAATCTGGACCTCCTTTGTTCAATGCTTTTCTGAAAAATGTGCTTCTTGCAGCTCATGATCCTGCAGCCTCCAGGAATTCATCTGGCAAGATGATGGTCTTTGATGGCAATAACCCTGGGGTCACAATGGTGCCCAGTGCTCTGGGGAAATGGTGTGTCAATTCCATTTGCTTTAATTCAACAACTATCAGAAGGACGCTGGTAGATCAGACATTAGATATCAGTGTTAGAAAGTCCTGCAGAGGTCATGATCTCCAATTCCTTCCCTATGAATTATCCCCTGTATATCTCCCCAAAACGACAGCCCAGTTTCTCTGCAAGTACCACCAATGACACCGGTTCACTACTACCCAAGACAAGTTATTCCAAGGTTGGGCAGAAAATCTTAACTCCTAATGAGCCAAAGTGGAACCACTTTTACCACTGGCCTTAGTTCTGGCCTCTGGAAAGACATGACCCTTTAGGTACTGGTATTTGAAGAAAAGTCTCATATCCTACTTCTCAGTGTTAAATCTCCAAGCTTGTATTAGACAGGGCTGGATTATACTGCAGTAACAAATATACCCCCAAATCACATTGCCTTAAAACAATAAAAGTTTATCTCCTGTTCATGCGAAGTCCAACGAGCAACTACTTTCTGGCAAGTCTTTTTCCCAAGTGATGGCAGTGATTCAGGATTTGCTCATCAAGAGGTTCCATCATCTCGGGGTCTTCCCCTTCCATCCACAGAGGCAGGGGAAGCAGCACAAAAAGAATCTCACAGGGGGGTTATGGCCAAGTCTGGAAGTAGTTGGTATCCCTGCTACTCACATTCTATTGGCCAGATCCCAGTCACATGGCCCCAACCTAACTACAAGGGAGGCTGGGAAGTGTAGCTTTCCTATGTATGCAGGAAGAGGAAGCAGAATTAGTGAGCATCCAGCCAGCCTCTGACATACAGATCTTCAAGCCGCCTCCACTTAGGGTTTGAGCATTCACCTTCTTGTACCTCATCTGAACAACGCCCACTTCTTCAATTGTGGTGCTTGGATCTGAAGTGAGACAGTCTGTCCAACCTGTGCTGGGGAGAAAGGGACCATTTACCTCACTGTGCTTCTACTGACGTAATGGCCTTTCTGGCAAACACATCACATCACTGACATATACTGAGTTTATGTGAATTGCTGTTAAGCCACACCTCCGTCCTCCCTAGAGCAGTGGTCTTTTGAATCTGAGAGTTAGACTCTGTGGAGCCAGTGGAACCCACATGGAATGGGCAGAAAGTAGTAGAATGCAGAGGGCTGGACTAAGGTGGGGCTGGCGGTCAGCAGGGCCTGTGCAATGAGAAGCAGGAAGTGACCTCAGAGGATTGCCTTGCCCAGCTGAGCGATGAGGGGGGCACTTGGCCAGAGGATAGCCGGGGCCTAAGGAACCCTGACCCCCTTCCTGGCTCGCTTAACTTCTAATCCCACCTGCAGGGTCTGTGGGGCATGTGCACCTTGATGTGCCCAAGGTCTCCAGCCTGCCCTCGAACACCCACAGAGCATCCCAGGTCCTGCTTACCAGAATTCTCTCTCAATATTCCTAGAAATGCCCAGGAATGCTCACATGCCTCAGGAATCCATCCTGGTGGATACCCCAGCCCATCTCTCACCCTGGGCCTCCCCACTATTCCTGTAGGTCACCTCTTGTCCTCCTGTAACCAGCTTCTCGAGGTCAGAGCCATGCCTACCATGCTGCCTCAAATGTTGAACACAGGCCTTCCCCAAAGGACAGCCAAGACTAGAGTGAACTTGAGCAAAACTTTACTAAAGGCCTAGGCAGGAATCATATTGTAGACATAAAAACATAAAACTGGATCCTAGAACTCAGAGCTCCAGTGGTCCCTGGGCTGGATCCTGCTAAGGGATCCTCTCCTGGCCCTTTCTTGCACCTTAGCCCCTGCCACAGGGCCACAGGCCTGTCTCTCCCTGCAGGGGGACCTTTGAATGCTTTGCTCCAGAACTAGGACCTGTACTCTCAGCTTTCTTTGGGCTCCACCCAGGTCTTAGCCTCTTTCCCAAATGTCTTAAATCTCTCCCCATAAACTTCTGTCCACAGGGAAGATAACCTATTACAGTTATCTTCAGTCACTGAAGCCTCTTACAGTCAGGCTTCAAACTTCTTCATGCCAGAATAGAATTCTGCTATTACTACTGCAAAACCAAAGGCCCATTAGTGTGTATTCCCCAAAAATATGAGTCAGAAAAGTCCCGAGAGCCTTAGCAGATGCTGTTTCATCTCTCTCTAGCCATCAAGATTTCAGCAATGCCAGGATGCACCCTCAATCAGAGGCCCCCATTACATGGAGCTCTGCAGACCCAAATCAGGGACACAGATTGGAACTGGAGGAGACCTGGTCAGTGAGGCTTAGAGCTGAGGTGGGTTCACTGATCTGTGAGAAGTCACAAATGGAGAAGGACGGTGAGCACATTACAGTGGCCCTGATGCCACACCAGCAGGAGCACAGACATGTAGGTGGGGACTCCCCACCAGAATGACAAAGGGATGTCAGGACAGCACCCACCCCAGCTACTTCTGGCCAAAGGCTTCACCACACCATGTGTAGGGAGCATTGGAAGTTAACCCCAGATCATTGAACTACACACTTAGGTTTTGCTGTTGAGTGTACAATTTAATTTCTATAGTATGTGTTCCATGCTTTACAATGTATGCCCTTAAAAGAATCAAACTTGACATGCTTAAGGAAATAAAACAGGCACAATAAACATTTGGGGCCATAGATGGGAAGCAGGACTACTATTTCTTTTCTTTTTTTTTTTGCAGTACGCACACCTCTCACTGTTGCAGCCTCTCCCGTTGCGGAGCACAGGCTCTGGACACGCAGACTTAGCGGCCACGGCTCACGGGCCCAGCCACTCCGCGGCATGTGGGATCTTCCCGAACCGGGGCACGAACCCGCGTCCCCTGCATCGGTAGGCGGACTCTCAACCACTGCACCACCAGGGAAGCCCATGGACTACTATTTCTGAACTCAGGTCCAGCTGCTCGCTGCTCAAAAATCAATACTCGAGAGACAAGTGTTGGTAGAAATGGAAAATGTTGCTTTTAATCAGAAAGCCTGCAATCTGGGGAGAAGGTGGACTAGTGTCCCCAAAACCAGCACCAAAGATTCTGCTTGGCCTTGAAAGTTTTTAAAGGGAAAAGGGAAAGTCATCTCAGGTAATCATTGAGATAGGGCATCAAGCTCATTGACATCTCCCACTGCGTGAAAGGCTCGCTGACTCCTTGTCATCTTTCTTTAGATGCTACCTCATTCACATAGTTTGTTCTTGAGATCACTGAAGGGGAAGCTAGGGAAGAGGTCTGGTCGTCTGTTAATTATTCTTCATTTTTACTTCTTTGATCTACAGAAAGAACCAACATCTTAGGCATGGTATTGTGTGAGCAAAAGATTTGAAAGCTGTGCTTGGGCCAGAGATGAGTAGAGCAAGGGGGTGCCTGGTTTAAGTTAGTTACAATATAATTTTGCTAAAGTGACAAGACAAAAGCTCTTTCCTGCCAAAAGCTGCTTCCATTACCCCATCTAGATGATCCAGCACAAGATACTGTACTGGTTCAGTACGTGAATGTAACGGGACGTGGTCAGGGATTCCGCTTCCGATTTTGTCGGGCAACGTACAGTGGGAAGTTGTGAAGGAGATAAGGGCAAACCGATGAGTTGTCCAAGAGGACTCTGTGAGTGATCTAAGCCCTGGAAGGTCCTGACCCACCCCCGGGCTCCGGGAACGCGGCTGCCCTTCTATGCAAGGAGAGCAGAGTCTGGCTCTGGAGTGGGGGGTGAGCAGATGGGAAGGAGGTGGGAGAGGTGTCAGGCTTTGCGGCGGGAGATCAGGATGTAAGGGGGTAAGGGAGGGGGAGGGGCACAGGGGAAGTGATGGATAGAGATAAATCTTTTGCCTAAATAAACAGAATGTTGTTTGAAAAAGAGAGCATTTCGAAGGTATAAATATTTTGTTGGTGGTGGTGATGAGTAAACCTTTAGTGAAGCCCCAGAGCTTCGTAATATACACTACA